TGGGCCTACCACACCCAGTCTTGTTATAAAACTGTTCTTTCCATCTGAGGCAACTTTCCTTCCCCTTTGTTATGTGAAATGTACCAAGCTGTCAGGATTTAGCATCTCAATCCCTACCTACGGAAAGCTTACTCCAAAATGTTGGTGTGCCATAGTCTCCCAAACTCTGGCAGAGGACACAAGGTTCTTGGGTCAGAGACAAAGGAAGGCTTACTATTCATAGACATAACAGTTGCCAAACTATCACTGCTTTCCTGACTCAATCTCCATAGGTTGAGACAAGAAGGGCCAGGTGACACTTGCACATGCTGTGGTTGTATTACAAGAAAGGAACCCTGAGCTCTGAGAGTCTGAATCTTTCATAATGGGTTGCAAGCAAACACCAGGGAAAGACATTATCCTTATCATACTGAACAGTAAACAAACTTGCCCTTTCTTCTGGAGGGAAATTCTATTTCTGTCTTCCCAGGCTGTCGGCTATACAAACATTTCTGAAAACATAGTCTGAGCAAAAGGGCAGTTAGTGCTTCTGCTCGCAAGACATGCAGAAATGTGAGAGACCAGTAGAGAATTGTCTCACCTCACTTATTATCAGTTACTGTAATTGCTTATTTCTTTCACATTTTCTCCAATCACACTGTAAGTTTCTTGAGGGAAGAAGACAGTCTTCTTTCATTGCTGTATCTTTAGGACAGTGATAAGGACATGGTAAATGTGAAGTAAATGTTTGTGGAATGAATGAATGAACTAATTCATTCTACTCGTGACACAAGGTTGGGACTGAGGAACCATGCCCAGCTCTTCATATCCAAGGCTAGAGTCATACCCAGGAAGTATTATTGGGATTCCTTTTATGGGTCATGGATTCCTTGGATCTTGCTTGGCAGGTAGTTAGCAGCATAACTATAAGAATAAAAAATGATAGTAATTATGATATATCCCAACATTTTCTTCCCTTTGTTCTCTTCCAGAGCGTGTAAGCATGTGAGCCTCAGAACAATTTCTGTGATATTTATTTGAATTTAACTACCTCTAGGCAGTGATTGGCAGATATTTTTAGTTTATGAAACAGTTTTAAATAGCCATCCAAGAATTTTGATAAGTCAAAAATGCCCACAAGAATGTAAGTTCGATGAGGATAAGTCTTTTCAGAGTTATAGGCCCTTATCTATTTTTGTTGATTGAATTAAAGGATTTAATTTGTTGACCATTCACTATATGCCTTAGCATGCGGCTAAGCTCTTACTATACTTCATTTAGTTTGTACAATGACCCCATGAAGCAGGTACTATATTATCCCCATTTTGCAAATGAGGAAACTGAGGGTTAGAGAAATTAAGACTTGTCCAAGACCGCACTATTGGTAAGTGCTGGGCTAGTGTTTAAACCCAGGCAGTGACTCTACACAAAGCGTTTCTCTGCCCATGAAAGTGCTAGTGTTGAAAGGTTATTATTTATCAAGAAGAAGAAAAATAACATATAAACCTATGGTATGCATTTTTGGTGAATTGTTATCTGGTTCTGTGATTTGAAAATTTGTACCTTGATGAGTATTGTGTGAATCACCAAAATCAAACTGCAGACATCTGACCATTTTTGACCTACAAAAATGTCAATTTCATATACTTCAACATAAGGTATATGCTGTAAACATTATCTCAAAAAATGTTGCTTTCAAAAGTAGCTTCAGAACATTAACTATCTTGAGTACAGTGTGTGCTTTGGTTCCCCAGACCAGACCGTGCCTGGAATGGCAGTTTTACTATTTACAGAGACCTGGGGGTCATCCAGAGGACATTTTTGTGGAAAATTGGGACCAGAGAGAGACTGTATTTGAGCTGAGACCCACGAGGACCAAAAGCACAATGGATGAGAGCACTCAGAAAGACCACAGGAGCTGTTGAAGACACTGAACTAGAGAGAATCAGATTAGCTGGAAGGTCTTCTGGGGTATTAGCAATATCCAACTTTATACTGCCAGAATGAATTCCTGACTGGAAAGGGACAATTTAAAAAATTCAAGCTCCCCAAAACTAATTTGCTGTTTCCAGCAATGACAAATTCCCATAGTATTCAGTAAGTATAGCAATGATTGAGTTAGAGGACATAACAACCATTGTTGCAAAAAGTTTATGCTCTTCGCTAAATATTAGTTTATATTGTGAGTATTTTGAGATGCAGCCAGAGAATGTTTAGGAACTCACTCTGTTGGTGGAGTGAATCTGAAAGGAATCACATTCTGTCAAGTACTGAACTATAGGGTGAACTTTTGTGTGATTGGCATTGGTTCCAGTCATGCCAACAGAAACACAATTCCCTGTTGTCTGCGTGATCCGCGCTTCACCTTGCCTGTGGGGCAGAGGCGTTTTGATGTGACCTCTTTGAAGACTCACCCCTGTGTCTGCCCCTATTGTTAGAGGAGGCCGGCAAGCCTGACACTTCCGTAATGGTTATGGCAGCCGTCCTCATTTTTCTGTTTCATCATAGTAGGTCACACATACTAACGGTGATTTAATAAGCACATCATGCAAATGGCATAGAACAGTGTTTGATTTTGTCATGGGGGTCATAGGTCTGAGAGTCAAAAATATTCTACACAATTGTGTCAGAAGTTGAGAATTAGACAAAGTAAAATTGAGCTATTTTTCTTTTTTATTCAGTTTTCTTTAGTTTAGAACATTCTTTGTGATACATACTGCCAATCAAATACATGTCTTTTTCCAGATGGCAAAATATTATTTTACAATTTTCTTGTATAAAATGTTTTAAATACAAAGTAGGTATAAAAGAGAAAGTAAAGTGCTCACCATGCAGGGACAATCATAATCAACATTTTGTACATATGTCTAATTGAGGCATATAAATGAATCCATTTATAAAATCCATTGAGATCATACCATACACAGGTTTGGTATCTAGATTGCTTCTACTTTGTGTGTTACAGACGTTTTCCCATCTTTAGCACACATTATTTTCTCCCCTGGTTTGTTACAGCTGCATGGTATCCATCATGCAGATGGGTGTGACAAATTATGGAGCTTTTTGTGCACAGGGTGTAGGAAGAAGCACCAGGAATTAGAGTTGGAGGCCATAGTTTTAAACTTTTGTCTTTGAGTGCCTCAGTTTCCTCAACTGTAAAATGGAGAAATTAACATTTGCCTGGCTGCCTTGCGTAAAAGTTAGGTGAGTTTCTTTGAGGCCTAGAGCAGGCCATGATAGCAAAGAATTTTTACTTAATGGTGTGTTTATGCGACATGTTGGGGCTTTACAGATAGGCCATCGCACCAGAGTCTGCCTTAATCATTTCGTCTTAAAAACAGAAAAAAGCCAACAAAGATCATAATCTAAGTTACATGTAAACTGTAATCTCACAATGCTTCATAATGCAGCTTTTAGAGTTTAGGTTAAGGCAAAACTTTAAAAGAACCAGCCCGCCCTTTTAGAAGGAATTTGTCTTCAACAAAGGAACTGTGTTACCGACTGAAGCACCAATCTGGAAATATTGCCAGGGCCTTGGTCTTGAAGCAAAATCACTGATGGGCTTTGATACTGTGGGTGGGAATTTAGAGAGGTCTCTCTGATTTTAAGAACTAATATATTTTGATGAATGCTAATTTTTAATAGTTCTCAAGTTAATATTCTCTTACCCAAAATGCAGTGAAAAGGACTTGCTAGGCCGGGCGCGGTGGCTCAAGCCTGTAATCCCCGCACTTTGGGAGGCCGAGGCTGGTGGATCACGAGGTCAAGAGGTCGAGACCATCCTGTCAACATGGTGAAACCCCGTCTCTACTAAAAAACACAAAAAATTAGCTGGGCACGGTGGCGTGTGCCTGTAATCCTAGCTACTCAGGAGGCTGAGGCAGGAGAATTGCTTGAACCCAGGAGACGGAGGTTGCTGTGAGCCGAGATCGCGCCATTGCACTCCAGCCTGGGTAACAAGAGCGAAACTCTGTCTCAAAAAAAAAAAAAAAAAAAGGACTTGCTAACTCAAACCTCTGAAATCATGAGCTGGGAGGAAATCCAGTGATCCCAATACCTCTGGTTCCAAGACCCAACTCTTTGTCTTCTTTTGATAACAGAAAACCCAGATTAGACAAACTGTACTCAAGGGAAACAGTCCTTGACTCTGTGCTGCTGCTCTAGGCAGGCTTCACGGATTATCCTAACGTTCTGACGAGAGGGTAGGGCTACCCAGAAATGGTGCCTTTCTACCACATGCACAATTTTAGGACCTTTTTTGATCACAACTCAGGATGTGTCAGGGTTTATAAAGAGAAAAAAAAAAAAGATTTTAAAATGGAAGCTCAAACTCTGCACTGCTGCGCAGCCTAAACATTAGCCGGCACATTATTTTTAATGTTGTCAAGAAACGCTCTTGTGGGGAATAAATCTATATCAATTTTCATGGCAGAGAAAGACGATTTTAGGACTAGGTTGCAGATACTTCAACTTGGAGGAGATGAACTTGATGGATTCTGCCTCATTAGTCTTACGGTGATTTCCCCCACTTTTCTTTTTGAAATATGCCCCCTGGAATTGTTGGGCAATGTGGGAAAATATTGTGACAAACATTCCTGTTTACGTGTGTCATGGGGGCGACTGTTTTGTTTGCATTGCTTGTTGCCTCTGCCCCTCCTTTTCATGGTCAGCAGTTCCCTGACAGCTCAGATTCCTCTGCTGACATCTGTTATAATGAGAGCTCTGGCGGGAATAGATTTGCAAAATGATGAGCTCACAATAGGATGGAGCTGTTCCCCAAACTTTCCTTGAGATAAGCAGATGGGGTCTGAAAATAGAGCATTTGAACCGATTAGGTCTAGGTGAACGAATTTATTCAGTACACACTGAAGAGTGATTCTACACCCAACTTCTTTCCCTATCTCCTTCACCCCTCACCTCCCCCATTTCACCAATAGGAGGGTTTCTGATGGCGTGAGTTTCTTCCCCCTGAACACTTGCTGGGAGACAGGCCCTCCTAGTTCCTAAAGCAGAAGCATGCTGGGTATTTACCCTGTGCCAACCGTCTAAACAACAGAGAAAACCCACCCCTCATGCCTCATAATGAGAAGCTGGGGCAACACATGGGGCTTTCCCACTCGTCACAAATGATGGCTGTTTGTGCTAGTTAACCTTTTCTAAGCCTGGGTCAGCTCCTGCTGGGAGGCAGGGGCGATCTGGAGAGAGTGAAAGCCTGGCAGACCCCAAAGTCTCCAGCACGCCTTGGCCCCCAACACATGCCACCGCCTTTGCAGAATACCAAACGATCCCACATCACGCTCTTCATAAGTCAGCCAGGCTCCATGTGCAGCTGACAGTTCAGATTCCAGAGGAGAACTGCCTCCAGGAACACTCTGCAGATACTTGCTGACAACTTTTATTTTCTGGCACAGCTTACCTTCTCTTTTTAGAGGAATCTCTAAAAAAGGATGAAGTGGAAATTTTCCCATCCTGGGCCTTATTATTCTCAGCTATCTCCACTAGCTGTGTAAAGAGAAGACTTCTTTGTACTTTCAAAGCCTAAAGTCAAGTCAGTAATACACATTTTAATAATTTTTGCCTTAAGTGTATTGACTGAAGCAAAATGAAGATATGGTGATTAAGAAATACACTCCTAAGCTCCATTCTTTGGGTATCTGGGGAGAATTTTGAAAGTGTCATGGGGGAATGCTATCTAATGAAGTATGGAGGAAGAAGGGCAGCTGAAAGGGAAATTTTGGAGATCTCTTTGGGGGTGAGGGGAACAGAAGTTTAAAAATGATGAAAATTCAATGCCCAAGTGAGGAGTTGATTTTGTCTCACTGTTGAAGTAGCCAAACTTCATAAAAGGAATCAGATGTTGCAAATTGCAGGTTAAAATGATCAGTGGGAATGCATTTATCACAGCTGCCAGGGTTCTGAAGAGCAGAACTCACATCCTGTAACACTTTCCAGAGATACCCGAACGTCTGTAGAGCTCAAATTCTCAAATCCTGCCATCCCTGACTATCTCCTGTCGCCAGCCCAGACCTGTGGATTATTGTGCTAATTCAACACCATCTGCTTATAAGGTATTGTTCAGAACGGTGTGTTTATGTGGCAACGGGTATCCTGAGAAGGGAGGAGGAGCCAACACACCATTGAAATAGTTCATTAACTGCAAAAGCAGTTAGTTGTGAGAAGCTCTAATGCAGAGCTGCTACAGCATTTACAGGAATAGATGGAGTCTAACATCTCAGGCATTACATGCTGAGGAAATCCACCTCTGAGTTATATCCTTGCTTATTTAAAAGCAGTCCTATGGGCGCCATTAGAATTTACTATTTGTGGTTATTAATAGTGGTAAAGGGAGGAGTAAATTAAGTGAACACAAAGGTTGAGATCTTTGCTACTGTTCACTGGGATGATTGACACCAGATGCCAACATGTGGCTAGGATTCACCTCTAGTTTTAAGTCATGCTCAGGTATCTGCAGGATGGGCATTTATTGGTTTTCATACAACCATGAAATGGTGTTTTGTTTTATTTGATTTTTTTTACGGTACACATTCTTATACTGCTTTGGAAACACTGAACAGTAGAAACAACATGGGTTCAGGGACCAAAAAGTTTGAATCTCTGCCCTACCACTCACTACCTGTGATTTCTGAACTTCTCTGAGCCTTGGCTTTCTCATTGTCTAAAACATGGACAAAATTGTCCCAAACAGTTGTTAGAGGATTAAATACAAGAACGTCTGTGAAAGCATCCAGTGTAGTATTTGGCACAAAGTAGGTGTCTTCGTTTGGTGTTGCTATAAAGGAATACTGGAAACTGCATAATTTATAAGGAAAAAAATTCAAATGTATTTGACTCATGATTTTGATGTCTGGAAAAGTTCTAGATTGAGCATCTGGTGAGGGCCTCAGGTGGCTTCCATTCATGGCGGGAGGTGAAGGGGAGCTGGCACACAGAGAGAGCACACGGCAAATGAGGAGGAAAGAGACAGGAGGAGGTGCTGCCTGGCTTCTTTTAACAACCAGCTCTCTGGAGAACTAACAGAGAGACAACTCTCTCACCATGCACCTAACCGAGAACCGGCACTAATTTATTTGTGAGGGGTCTGCCTCCATGACCCAAACTCCTCCCATTAGGCCCCACATCCATTCGGGATCAAATTTCAACATGAGATTTGGAAGGGACAAAACATCCAAACTATAGCATTAGGTAAATGAATTTCCTTTTCCCTTGACTATATCTCTTTCATGCCAATTCATAGCTCAGATACTACTTATAAGCTATATGACACTGGTTGGATCTAATTGAACTTTGTCTCTTGCTTTCTCCATTTTTTTCTTATATCTATGTCTTCTCTTGCTGGCTTCTTGCATGAGGAGTATATATATATATTTCCCTGTGTTTGGCATTTGTTAAATGTTCCATTTCTTCTACCATTAATTCATTGATTCATTCATCCCATGAAATCTGTCATGTGCCTATAATAAGCCAGTATTGCAAAAGAAATAGACGTAAAGTCTGTATTTTTTGGGAGCTGACAATTTGGGGATAGAAAGTAAGATAGCTCCCTTCAAACTCTGAATGGCTATTGTGAAAATTATGAGTAATTAATGGGGCAAGGACCTTGTTTTACTTATTCCATTGTCTAAACCCAGAGCTCAGTCCAGACACATCTTCATTATATAAATTTAAAAGGAAAAGAACAGAGATGATATTTGCTTAGTGGGTAGAAGTAGGACCCGTTGGCAACAAACACTGGATTGCACATCAGCATAATCAAATTCTAACATTGTGAAGGCACGTGGTCTCTCTTGAGGAGGGCTGAAATCCTAGCCATGGGTGGTTTTCAGGCTCTGGTTCCCTGAGAGATGTACAGGAGAGGCTGCAAGCCTAACTGGGTATTTATGATCCCTTCAGACATATCTGCATAGCTATGTGTTTGTAGGCTTGAAATCCTGATTTTATCAGTCAGGAAGGAAGGAACAAAGAAACAGAAAGGAAGAGAAAACCCTACTCCTGATAGCATGAACAATAGGAAGATTTATTAGCTCATCAATAATAAGTCAGAATGAGGGAAACTCCAAGTTGGTTTCTACAGAACACCTATAATGTTGACAAGGACCCAGATTCCTTCCATCTTGTCATTCTGTAGGCTTTAGTATTTTTCCCGCAGAGTAACCCCTCATGCTTACAAGGTAGCTGCCACAGTTTCATCTCTCAAGTGCAGACGTGTTCCTGACCAGTGGCAGAAAAGAAACAATTTCTTCCTGAAATGTTTTTGATAAGGAAATCTTTCTCAGAAGCCTTTCAGCAGACTTGCTTCCCATCTCATTGCCCAAATTACAACATATACTGAATTTAACCAATCACTGACAAGAAGAAGAGGACCAGCCTGGAGGGTGCCAGAAGTCAACTGGGGTTCTCTAAGTAAGAAAGAAGAAAAGTGGCTGCTGTTGAATGGGAACCACTCATGCCAAATACAGACAGCCTGATGCAATGAAGAAGGCATGAGTTTCGGTTTGGTTCTACTGTTTGGTAGCTGTGTGATCTTTAGTGTATTAGTCTGCTCAGGCTGCCATAACAAAATACTGTACAATGAGCAGCTTAAACAATAGAAATTTATTTTCTCAAAGCTGTGGAGGCTAGCAGTCCCAGACTGAAATGCCAGCTGATTCAGTTCTTGCTGAGAGCTCTTTTCCTGCCCTGTTAATGGCTTCCTTTGCCCTGTGTCCTCACGTGGTCTTTTTCTGTGCACATGGAGAGAGAGCATGTCAGATTGAGCTTTCCGGTGCTTAATGATTTCCTTGCTCCAAACATAGTCACATTGGGGGTTATGGCTTCAACATATGAATTTTGGGGAGACACTATTCAGTCCATAGTAGTGGCAAAACTAACCTCTCTAAGCCTTTCTTTCCTACCTCTGCAAATGGGACTAATTATATACACCTCCTAGTGTTCTCTTGGGGATACAACAAAATGATGACACATATCCTCAAATTTACCCCAAAGCCTTGAGTTAAATTAGTTTACATTTTGTTCTCACTCCATCAGCTAAAACCAGAGAACTCATGCAATGACAGAAACTTCTCCAAATCACATGGCTTTCTATAGTGCATATTGAGTTTAAGAATTGAGTTCTGGTTTCTGACAACGAGAGTGGCTTCAATATGCTTAGAAAAAGCAAATAATACTTGCCGGAAGATTATTTCTTCTCGAAGTTAATGTGGTAATTTTGTTACAAAAATATTATTATGGATTTGCTATCATTCTTTCTTGAGGATTAAAAGGAATAAAATTAAAAGCTCTGCATAGTAGAAAGATAAAACACACCTGGGTGATTGGTTTCTTGTAACAAGCAGAGATGCTTAAGAGAGCAGAGTTTATTTATTTATTTTTTGAGATGGAGTTATGCTCTTTTGCCCAGTCTGGAGTGCTCTGATGTAATCTAGGCTCACTGCAACTTCCGCCTTCCAGTTTCAAGAGATTCTCCTGCCTCAGTCTCCTGAGTCGCTGGTATTACAGGTGCCTGCTATCATGCCTGGCTAATTTTTATATTTTTAGTAGAGGCAGGGTTTCACCATGTTGGCCAGGCTGGTCTCAAACTCCTGGCCTCATGATCTACCCGCCTTGGCCTCCTAAAGTGCTGGGATTATAGGCGTGAGCCACCATGCCCAGCCCGGTGGATTATTTTGACTGGATGCATCATATTAACAATTATTTGACTGCTGTAGGTTTCAGTTTTCTCATCTGTAAAATTATAATAATAATATTTTAATTATAATATTGATAATTATAATATTTTGCTAACGGGGTTAATATAATTAATTATAATAATGCTGTTAATAATAATATTTTACCTCAGGGGGTTGCTATGAAGATAACTTGGGTTAATATACATGAAATGCATAGACCAGTGCCAAACTTGATCCATCATAACCATCATTAACAACACATTATCTGCAAATAACACTCTATGGAACAACCTGTAGCCAAATTTTTGCTTGCATTGAGATGAATTCCTAAAGGAGCTAAATTGTGGGGTCACAGGGTATTTGACTCAGCTTCTTTAAGACTCAAGAACTTTATCCAGCTGGCATGGTTGCTCATATCTGTAATCCTAGTACTTTGGGAGGCAGAGGCGGGAGGGTCACTTGAGTCCAGGAGTTCAAGACAAGCCTGGGCAGCAAAGTGAGACCTCCCTGCCCCTATCTCTATATATATAAAAAAGGAAATTAGCTGGGTTTCATGGTGCATTCCTGTAGTCCTAGCCACTTGGAAGGCTGGAGCAGGGGGATCACACGAGCCCAGGAAGTCCAGGCTTAGTGAGCCGAGATTGTGCCACTGCACTGCAGCCTGGGTAACAGAGCAAGATCCTGTCTCAAACAAAACAAAACAAAAAACAAACAAGCAAAAAATCTCCCCAGACCTGCCCCCCCTGCCCCCAAAAAGCCCTAAAAAGAACAACTTCCAATTTAGCTGGCCCAGGCGTGTTTTGTGACTTAGCATTGCTTGGAGTCAAAAGAAGGCAACTCTGATCAAAACCAATGGAGGTCCTGTGATGCTGAACTTCTTTTGTCACTATGACAACACAGGCATTCCTGAAAATGCTTCCTGGAGGTGTCCTGTAACTGTCTGGGCACTTATGTGCAGTCCTATCTGTTGATGGACCTCGGAACGCTACCCGTTCTGCCGCTTAGCAGCTATTCATCATGGGACGCCTTGCCAGGGAATGACCCACAGCATTGTGACAGATCAATTTACTTAATGAATTACACATTTCAAATAACTTGAAGTTGATTTGGTCCAGCCTGACTGTGTCGCTGGGCTGATCATCATTCTAATAAATGACAAGGTTGCTGTGTTTTTTCCTTGTTGGTATTTTACAGGGAGGACTTGCCAGGGTTTAGCTGTTCTTGGTGCTAATGGAGAAGGCATGTGGAGTCTTGGGAAGCAGATCTCCCTGGTCTTGGAACACAAGGGACACACACAGAAAACTTGACCAGACCCTTTCTTTTGCCACCTCTCTGTGCTGTGGCTGGAAACCATGGGAATCTGTTCTTGCCAACTCTTTGATTTCTCCTTATACGACCAAGCTCTCTTCCCTGGCAGAAAGAAGAAATTGGGGCAGCTGGAAAGACTCAAATAACTGAGCTTGTCTCCCTTTTAATCTTTCTTTGTAGGTGAGCTAGAGGCCAGAGAACAAACAGGTGATAAAAGAGCAAGAAATCTTTGCAAAAGGATAGGAAGAATGCGTCGTAGGGGCTGTGAAAAGAAGCTAAAGAAGGTCAGATTGTGTTACACCTTAAACCCACTTAAGCTGAGCAAGAAGAATAATTGAATTAAACTGGCAGAAGAAAAATTTTTCCAGGAGCAAGGGTTGGATAATGACTGTGCTTTACCCAAAGTGTACAGCATTTGGCATGTCCCTACACATCCCCAGCATGCCTATTCAGTGAGTGAATGATGGTGACAGGAAGGGCTCACAGGCTTCCATCCTGATCTTAGCTCCAACGCTTATCTCTATGGTCTTGGGCAAGTGATCTACACATTCTGAATCTGTTTCTTACTTTTAAAATGGAACTAATAATATCTCTTTTACAGGGTTGTTGAAAGGTTTAAGATATATATGTATATTAGAAAGTGATCCTTATGTTCCAAAAGTTCTATAACACCTGTTTTCAGTGATATTAAAATAAAACAATGCTGTAATTTCTTAATGATAGCTTCTAAACATCGAGGGTCTATGTGTGTGTGTGTGTGTGTATTTATACACACACACATATATATATGGACACACACACACACTATATGTGTGTGTGTGTGTGTGAATATAAACACTCAATATATATAGTGTCTATTGCCTGCAAACAAGTCCTCATCTCAGGCTCTACTAAGATGCAAGTCCACAATGTTTTGATGCCAGAGGAAATGATATAGACACGAAATACACACACACACACACACACACACACACAGACACTTGATGTTTGGAAGCTATCATTAAGCAACTACAGCATTGTTTTATTTTTATATCCCTTAAACAGGTGTTATAAAACTTTTGGAATATGAGCATCCCTTTCTAATGTTAATGTAATTTGTAAATGTCCTTTCAACCAGGATACTGTTAATTGATAGAGGAGATATATAATGGCAAAAAGCTATAAAAATCAGTAACATTTTAGAATGAGATTATATTTGATGAATTGCAACAGCATGTATACACATAGGCTGTTCAAAGAAATGATGAGACATTTATTCCCTCTCCAGACAAGGTACAGTGCTTATATAAATGATTATGAACCCCCACAATAGCTTCATAGACTGCCAAGTGACTAGGATCTACTAGGCCAAAAGCAGTAAATTCTAACTATAGGTGAGTATCTTTAAAAGAGAGGGCTCATTTATCTTAGCTATTGATATTAAGCTAAGTTAGTAGCAGATGGCCTTACTGCACAGAGATGGCCCTTCAGACTGACATCATTCAATCTTGGGATTGTTTTCCTCCTTGGGACTTCTAGGTTTGTGCTTATCTAGCCAGAGTGCATGCTGGACACTGTCTCCTTCCATAATCCTGTAACAATGGGGCTTGTTTCCAGGCTGACCTGTTGAGTCTAGCAAAGCAGCCTCTGACTGTTGAAGTTTGGTTCCTGTGTAATTTCCTCTGCCATCAAAACCATTGTGGATTTGCATCTTAGAAGAGCCTGAGATGAGGACTTATTTGCAGGCGATATATTTTGGGAAGTGATTTCAAGGTGCAGGGAGTAAAAGCCCATCCAAGTGTTATTATTAGCTGGTTACTGTTGAGGGCAATAGGAACGCAATCCTGTTGGGGACTCTCTGAAGAGCTGTGCAGAATATACCTCAAAATAGTCTCCTGAGACATGAAAGAGGGGGCATTCTAAAAATCAGCTCCCATATCCCAGTGGTTGAGGAGTGCCCTATGGAATGTTATCTCCAGGTGTTTTCCTTCCAGGAATGTTTTCCTTCCAGGTGTGCACATGTGTCAGGATGACTGGCTGGGGCTGTGCTGGAAAGCCATGAGAGATGTGGGTGCCGTTGAGGTGCAAGGTCATCAAATGGCTCCTGGGCACAGCTGGTGTTACAGAGAGGGCTGGTACAAAAAGCCCAGCTGTATTAGTCCATTCGAATGGTGCTAATAAAGACATACCTAAGACTGGATAATTTGTAAGGGAAAGAGGTTTAATGGACTCACAGTTCCACATGGCTGGGGAGGCCTCACAGTCATGGTAGAAGATAAAGGAAGAGCAATCGATGACTTACATGGTGGCAGGCAAGAAAGAGTGAGAGCCAAGTGAAAGGGGAAACCCCTTATATAACCATCAGATCTCGTGAGATTTATTCACTACCATGAGAAAAGTATGGGGGAAACAGCCCTCATGGTTCAATTATCTCCACCTGGCCCTGCCCTTGACATATGGGGATTATACAATTCAAGGTGAGATTCCGGTGGGGACACAGCCAAACTGTATCACCAGCCAAGGAAACATGAGGTACACAAAAGGTGCCAACCAGGAGACAAAGCACAACTGAGGGAGACAGAATTAAGAATCAGGTCTGGTTACCCATTAATGTCTTTGGAGCACAACTCTGTGCCATTAATAAATAGACTTAGGGACATTTAAATTTTAGAATTTATATGAGCAGACAGCAATTCATAAATCAGGCAGCACCAAACTGCAACTGGTGGGGGCTCCACTGAGGGAAAGAGAGGGGAAAAAATGTTTATAAGGTGTTAGTAGAAGCAAGACAAAGACAATATTTCATTGACTAAAGTGGAAAGTCCCTAGTTAGAGGTTAGTGGGTGGTTTCTCTTTTTAAAAAATTAATTAAATTTAATTTTAAGTTCTAGGATGCATGTGCAGGGCATGCAGGTTTGTTACAGAGGTAAACATGTGCCATGGTGGTTTGCTGCACCTATCAACCCATCACCTAGGTATTAAGCCCTATATGCATTAGCGATTGATTCTGATGCTCTCCCTCCCGCCACTCTCCCAGACAGGCCCAAGTGTGTGTTGGTTCCCTCTGTGTGTCCATGTGGTCTCATTGTTCAGCTCCCACTTATAAGTGAGAACATGTGGTTTTCATTCTCTGTTCCTGTGGTAATTTGCTGAGGATAATGGCTTCAAGCTCCATCCATGTCCATGCAAAGGATATGATCTAGCTCCTTTTTATGGCTGCATAGTATTCCATAGTGTTTACGTACCACATTTTCTTAGTCCAGTCTATCATTGATGGTCATTTGGATTGATTCCATGTCATTGCTGTTGTGAATAGTGATGCAATGATTGGTTAAGTTTGTTTTGTTTTCCTAGGCTATGGCTATTCTACTCTAGGTTCAGTTTCAGTTGGAACTCAGGGTGCTGGAGCCATCTCAGCCTAATGGTACCTGAATTAATTATTTCCAAAGTGCCATATGTTGTGTTAGCTGCTGAAGCTGAAAAGTTTAATGAGGCACAGTGCATACCGTAGCCTACAATCTATAGCACATAGAGCATGATGGCGTGGCAAAATAAGGGTGCTTACTGTCAAGGAGGGAGACAAGCGCTGTAGTAGATGTCAGCATAAAAGCCTCTCAAAACTTGGAAGGGAGTGACTGGAGTTTTGAGGGAAGGCTTCACAATGAAGGGAAAAATTAATTTGAGTCTTGAAGTATGAATAGGAGTCCATCATGTAGTAACAGGGAGGAAGGATTTTTGCAGGAGAGAGAGAGACAGATGAGTGTGTCTGGACTGGGTATGCCCATGAAGTCTTCACAATTCCAGTTTTTTCCATAATAGCTTCTGGCTCAGGCCATTATTTCAGTTAGGTTTTTGTTAATTTTATTTTATTTTTTATTATTTTTTTGAGACAGAGTCTGACTCACTCGCCTGAGCTAGAGTACAGTGACATGATCGTAGCTCACTGTAGTTGTGAATTCCTGGGCTTAAGTTATACCCCTGCCTCAATTTTTAAAAGATTTTGTTGTTGTTAGGAGCAGAGGTCTTATTATGTTGTCCAGGCTAGTCTCACACTTGTAGCCTCAATCCATCCTCCCTCTTGAGCCTCTCAAAGTTCTGGGATTACAGGCATGAGCCACTGCACTTGACTTTTAAAAAATTAATAATAAAAAATATGTGTTCTGGGAGGAGTGTGTAAGTTTACATTTATGTAAACAGAGGAAACACATAGGAGGTTTCACAGGCCAGTGCTGATGATCTCAATTCTCTGCCCCTAGAGTCCCAATGGAGTGAAATTGCCCGGTCACTCCTCTCTCCTAATCTTACCTGGGACTACATGTGTCCAGCAGTCGTGGGTACTTCGTTCCCTTATAAGGGGATACAGGCACACCAGACATGGCTTTCCCTCTTTTGTGACCACCTATTCTGAGTCTTGTGAATAATTCATATTCACTGCTCACCCTCCATGTTGGTCAAGTGGGACTTCTTTGTCACCGTGAGGAATGCCTGGGCCACTCCAGCATTTGCCTCTTCCCTATTTGCATCCAGACATCCCCCTGTGGTTCCCATCTGCTGCCACCACCCGAGTCCAGTGTCCTTTGTCTTCCTCCCTCCTTTTTCTGTAAAATTGCTCACAGGATGAGACCTCGCAACTACCACTAACATCTCAATGTGGGTTATTCAGATCCATGACCTTTTCAGCCTCATTCCTCATGGCTGGATTCTGGCATTTCCTGACTCCAGTCATCTGTGGGCAGATGTGTGTGATTGAAAGGAATTTGTGTCTGGAAGTGGATTGGAGGGGTATGTGGAAGGGTGAGGGTCTTCCTAGGACCATGAAAATTACATGGATAGGCAGGCTCTTACTCCATTAAAGCACAAGGCCATGTTCCTAGGTCTTTTTTTATATATGGACCTGGTATTTATTGTTGCTTATTGTAGTCCAGGTTTGTGCCCCCATTTCTAAAAATGTCATCACATTAACCAGATGAGAAGCATATCATTCTATTCTGTGGATGAGAAAACAGACCTAGAGGGGTAAATAATTTGTCCAACATTATATAATTTCTATGTGGCTGAACCTAAGGTTCCATTCCAGGCAGTAAAAACATATCTATTGAGATGAATTAAATTACTGTCTGCTTAGTACATGGTGCCAAGTATCTAGTACAGTAAACCTGGTGCTTTGGGACATAGTATGAAGTGTAGACTTTAAATCAACTTTCAACACATGACTAGTGTATTTGTCCGTTTTCATACTGCTATAAAGAACTGCTCAAGATTGGGTAATTTATAAAGGTAAAAGGTTTAATTGACTCACAGATCT